AATAACTCGAAAAGTTCAGATGTCTTAAAAAAGGATAACAATATTTTATATCTGGTTGCTGAATACAGGACTGAGACTTCTTCCCAACCCGCTATATGGATCGTGACACTTTGTGTTTGTTAGGCGAGTTTTAACATCTTAAGTTGTTTGTTCTTTAAGAAACTGGTTTTGGTGTATCTTCAGGTGATATTCGTAAAACTTGTTTTGGTGGTGTGAGTCTAAGTCGTTCTTCAAAAATAAATTGTTCTGGATTAGAAGTTGAGGTCGATAATACGCGAATCTTAGTCAGCTTCTGCGAGGCGGGTCCTCAGAGATCTCAGCTCACTGCAACTGCTTGTCTGTCTGTCTGTCTCCAACCCCAACTGGAACTGCTTTTCACTCGCTGCGACTCTGCTTATATGGACGCCGACCAAAACCTGGGTGGGCTTGTCGGGGTTTGAGGTTCCTTGATAATTCTAAACCCACAATCCACTTCTTTGTTTTCGTTCAGGAAAATTTATCATTTTTCATTTTCGTCTTCCCACCTTCTTCTGTTCTCATATTGGTATCTCACCATACCCTCAGAGGGTGTCAACGGGTTTCCCCTCTCCTCACAGTGGCATCTCATACCGATCTCTTCAATGGGTGCCAACAGGCCTCCTCTCCTACTTCACATGATTACCTTCGTCTAACGCTCACGCCAGCATTCAGCAAATGGGCGCCCAGCAGTGTGGGTGTGGCTAGACTAGCCTCGGTTTAAAAAAATCTTGCTCAAAGAAAAAAAAATTATCTCCTTTTTTTTCTTTTTCTTTTCTTTCTTTTCTTTCGTAGTGTGGTCCCTTAATCGCAATTCTTATCCTAAATGTCACCTGGAATTCATCACCCGAGACCTGCACCAAACAAGTGGGTGGTCATTCTGGCGTTAATTATTCCTGATAAAATAATTTTCTTATCATAGCCAGCTCCTGGCACAAAACAGATGTCTTTCCCAAATGACATGGAGGTGGACCTACGGATATTTTGGTTTCGGTCAAGCTTGACCTAATTAATTTTTATCACTTTAGAATTCTGCGGGAGGTCGCTTGTCCAACTTGAAATTTTTACCATTGCCATGGGCAGATTGGATATATATTACTCGCCGCACCGTAACATAAATCAGATTAAATCCGAAACATCCGCGACCTTACTTTCCTCGCTAATGAGAATAAAACTTTTAGCATTTTTCTTTGTTAAAAAGAATAATATCGCTTAGTGTCCTTTTCGTGATGGCTTCTTATCAAAAATTTAATTCTCGCCTTTCTTTTTTCTTCTTTCTTTCTAGCGACCTAAATAGTGTCACATAACATCAGAAAGCTGAAAATGCTGGGACGCATAAGGAGAAAGGAGGGCTTGGAGAATCTGATACTCACAGGTGGAATAAAGGGAAAGAGATTCAAGGGAAAGCAATAAGTGACATACCTAGCGGGCTTAAGCAAGTGGATGACAGGACAGGTACTGGGAGTAGTAGTAAAGAGACAAAACTTATTGAGGGCTACAATGGATAGGGGGAAGTGGAGAGCCATGATCGCCTACGTCCTAAAGTGGCACGGCCCATAAAAAGAAAGTTTTCTTTTGGATGTTTTCGTTTGCTAATGTCACTAATATATCTCTTTATATCCTCCCTTGTCTCCATGTAAGGAGAACAGTGAAGAATGCGCACGAACGTAGCAAAGAACCGCTACGAATCGCTGCGATCCGACTACGTGGAAAAAGGGGTGGACATGCCACGTGATATTTAATGAGGTCGGGTGCCGTGGATTCATTGCACGTACAATCTTTTCCTTCCTTTTGAAGGGGGACATCATTGGCTTTAATCCGTCTCCAGACCACGGCTCGACAGGCATCGAATTGGATCTGGTC